CTGACCCCTAACCCTACAAAGTTCCCATCTCTGCTGGACCCCTAACCCTACAAAGTTCCCATCTCTGCCGGACCCCTAACCCTACAGAGTTCCCATCTCTGCCGGACCCCTAACCCTACAGAGTTGCCATCTCTGCCGGACCTCTAACCCTACTGAGTTCCCATCTCTTCCTGACCCCTAACCCTACAAAGTTCCCATTTCTGCCTGACCCCTAACCCTACAGAGTTCCAATCTCTGCTGGACCCCTAACCCTACAGAGTTCCCATCTCTTCCTGACCCCTAACCCTACAAAGTTCCCATCTCTGCTGTACCCCTAACCCTACAGAGTTCCCATCTCTGCTGGACCCCTAACCCTACAGAGTTCCCATCTCTGCCGGACCCCTAACCCTACAGAGTTCCCATCTCTGATGGACCCCCAACCCTACAGAGTTCCCATCTCTGCTGGACCCCCAACCCTACAGAGTTCTCATCTCTGCAAACCCTACAGACTTCCCATCTCTGCCGGACCCCAAACCCTACAGAGTTCCCATCTCTGCCGGACCCCCAAACCTACAGAGTTCCCATCTCTGCTGGACCCCCAACCCTACAGAGTTCCTATCTCTGCCGAACCCCCAACCCTACAGAGTTCCCATCTCTGCTGGACCCCTACAGAGTTCCCATCTCTGGCGGACCCCTAATCCTACAGAGTTCCCATCTCTGCCGGACCCCTAACCCTACAGAGTTCCCATCCCTGCCAGACCCGTAACCCTACAGAGTTCCCATCTCTGCCAGACCCCTAACCCTACAGAGTTCCCATCTCTGCTGGACCCCCAACCCTACAGAGTTCCCATGTCTGCTGGACCCCCAACCCTACAGAGTTCCCATCTCTTCCTGACCCCTAACCCTACAGAGTTCCCATCTCTGCTGGACCCCTAACCCTACAGAGTTCCTATCTCTGCTGGACCCCTAACCCTATAGAGTTCCCATCTCTGCTGGACCCCTAACCCTACAGAGTTCCCATCTATGCTGGACCCCTAACCCCACAGAGTTCCCATCTACAGAGTTGAAATCTCTTCATCTTGAAGAGGAATTCCTCGGTATGTAACAGGTGTCCCCATTAGAAGATTTTCCCTAATCCTGTTCTGCTGACAACTTCAACATTTTGAATTTTCAGTCACTTCCTGTTCCACTGACACCAGGACACACAGAGGGGTGAATTTCTCCGACTGAGAACCTGACAAGGGGCCCAACCTTCCTCACTCCATTCAGAAGCTAGACATTTTTTTTTGGTGATATACTTTATATACACCTGTGGGCTATACCTAGCCAAAGATACCCCCTTAGGGTTAAATTCCTTTATGAGCCCCATGACCCCGTCTTCAAATGACCTTTTTTTAAAAAGACCCACAAGTGCCTCCATGAGTTCTCCTTATACCCCACCGCCACCAACATGGCCTCTGCTCCTACCCCTTCACCAGCTCCACTGCGATGAAATCATTGCCGTCCCCGCTGTTGAATAAGATGAAGCCGTCGGATGAGATGGTCTTGAATTGGAAGAAGAGGTGCATGGAGGTGTAGGCCTGGAGGGTGGAAAGGGTAAGGTAGCTGGCCTTGGTCTTAAATGTGACAGGGTCTGCGATGATTGGACGCAGGCCAAACCGTGCCTTCAGCTCACAGTAGTCGATATCGCCGTTCTTGCACAGGTCGATGTAAAGTAAGCCATTGAACATCAGACTCTGGAGGTGCCCGATGAACTTAGAGGGTACGGCCGAAGCAAATCTCTTCTCTGTCATGGAGCCAGTCTCAATGTTGTGGAATTCCAAACGGGTGTGGTCACCCGCCATGGTACCTGGGTAGCAGAACCAAAACCAACAATGTCAAGTGACCATACTGGCGATTGCATCTGCAGATACAAATGCAATCCTCGTCACAGAATATAACCTGCAGTACAAGCCTGCCCTCTGCTGGGAGAAATGGAGAATGCGTCCTAGCAAAACCACGCACCTGAATTCTCAGTGGTTTCATATCGTTCTAAACCCCAAAAGTGATAAACCTGTTTCTAGGCAACAATAATATACAAGTAAACATACAGCCCTCACCTTCCCACAGACCTACCCTCATTATCTCCCCTCACCTTCCCACAGACCCACCCTCATTATCTCCCCTCACCTTCCCACAGACCCACCCTCATTATCTCCCCTCACCTTCCCACAG